TCATAGTTCTCATTCCGAGGATACGTCTATTTGTTTGAGTATTTCAGAATGGTCGACGGGCACAAATACTGTTCGTCAATATGCTAATCTTTCTGCTTCTGAGAGTATATCTGCGATATCTATTCCGAAAAGTGATAAATCTGAAAATGCGAATTCTAAGTTGTTTTCGTCTTCTAAAGTCTGTAAAAAATCCGAACAGAAATCAAAGATAGGCTCCCAAGCAGAAGGTAGCTCAAAGAGCAGTAGTATTGATAAAAGTTCGGAAAACATTAAATACGATAAATTATGTAGTTCAGAAACTACGATTTCCAGAAAAGGTATAGATAGTAGTTCGGGGACCAAGAGTGATAGTACTTTAACGCTAGCACAGTCCATATCCGAGTGGTCAGCGAGTACAAGTCACACTCTTGTTGCCACAGCTCGCGAAGATCAACAAGAGATGGACGAAACAAAATCTGATAGAACTTGCGTTAAAGACTTGCCTTCTGACACCGAAGATAAAGTTGAAGAGGAATCATCGATTCCTAAATGTGAGTCGCCGATTAAACCGGATGACGTCAAAGAACCTGTTCTTAGATTAACAGCTTCTTATACTGGAAAACATGATAAATCTTCCTCAATAAGCTACAGTGATAAGTCAGATAAATCCAGTTCCAGCTCATTAAGTAGCTTACAAAAACATGCCAATGGTATTTTTAGATTTGATCAACGATTACGAGCATTCCAACATCCACAGGATAAAACACACGAACGCTATTCTAAAGCTCCACCAAAAAGTTTAAGTTACGAGGAGCAGACGCATAGGTATACAAAACCAACAATGCGTTGTCAAAGTGAAGATAGCGATTTTAAACCTTATTCTATTGAATCGCAACCAGAAATAGATATCGATATGCCTTCTCAGCTGTATAGCCAAGAAGAAAAGCATAGCGAACGTTATCAAAGCCAAGAGTTCTCTAATATAATACGAGAAGATACTGGCAATCACTTCAATCGAACCGACTTTAAGCCTTTGGCAAAACATGCTAGTTACGATGACAAGACATTGTCAAAAAATCAAATAAAAGAATATAAAATATCACAGCAATATCGTACTAAACCTAAAAGCTGGTCTTTCCATGAACATTATTTGGCTTCGTCGTCGGAATTACCTATAATTACAGTACCAGAAATACCATTAGTACATAAAGAATTGCAAGAGAAAAGATCTAATGAAAGATCTGGGAAAACTCCGCTTTCGAGATGTTCCCCGTATTATTCTAGCAGCCTTAGTTCCGAGTCTCCACCCATACAACCATTAAAAGCGCCTGTCAAAAAATCTATTTTGGTTAGAAATATTTCCTTAAAAAGCCCCCCGAGTGGCAATGATACAGATAGTTCTTTAGACGTTATTAGGGACCCAAGGGAGAGAATGAAGACATTTAGGCGAAAGAAACCAGTCGCGGGTGCACGCAGAAGACATGAAAAAATTCAAGATGTGTTGGAGGAGGATTCTACCAAAAGTCAATGCTCTTCAGAAAGCGACAAGCTTCAAGGGGCAATGTATTTGACTGTTGAAGAGAATTTACGGCGAATTGAAAGTTCTGAATGTTCCGATAGTTATTTACCCGAAGTAGAGTCGGGGTCTTCTGAAATGTCAAAGGGCAATTCCAAAAACTATGATATTCAGGAGTCAGTTAGTTACTCTGAAGATGACGAACAAGCGGACTTTGCGGCTAAATATAAAAGTATCCCATACGAGCCACAGAAGTTCCCTATCAGTATAACACCTGTAAAGTTTCAAGGATTCGGATCGTCTGCCGATGAGGACGAAATGGGATTTCCACGTTTTGATCGCTTAGGTCGCCTACGTCATCCATATCTTGATTCACAAGAACCATCGTATGTTCCCGATGATAGTCCTCCTAGAACTTCGTACTCTAATAAGAGCAGTCGTCAGTCGTCCCTCAAGAAAGCTAAATCTTCGCCGATGTTTCGGCAATCCGAAGACAAATCTGGCGAATCTTCTAGCCAACACCAGTCTCGATCGAAATTTTACCAAGAACAAAGTGATAGGGACGACTCCGACGATTATGCTTATCCTATTGACACTATTAAAAGGGCTCCGAAAACAACCAAATCTGGTAGTTTCATGTATGAACGCGATTCAGTTGCCTATTCGGATTCAGAGCTTCCCCAAGATAAAGACGAATACGAGGAATACAGGGGCAGTCCGTATCCGGAGCGTTACGAAGAGATGGAAATGTTCCAAACGCAGGAATGCTATCCACAGTACGAACACGACGTGCTGGAGCGCAGAGAGGGCAGCGAGGAGCGATTCGCGAGGGATTTGAACCAACGCTTTAGCCTCAATAATGTAGAGAGATTCTATTCTAGTCATTACGTGGACTCGCAGGCCTCCAGCGACAGTCCCGAGCAGAAGTTTGACGTGTCGACGCTGCCCCCGCCGCTCTGCTCCGACGATGACAATGAATAAAAGTGATTTCACTATTTTAACAATTCCGTTGCGACTTGTCTTAAACTTTTTCTGCGATTCATAATCTTATATTCTAAATAACGCAATTAATCGTTGTATTAAAATTCTATTAGAATACTTATATTAAATATATTGTGTCACTTTGAATTATTAGAAAAAAATATATAGTGCCAATCCTAAATAGCCGTGAACCCTTATATCTTCCATGTATGCACGGACTTACCCGTAGGTTATTAAGTATTTAGATGTAGTTAAAAGTGTACTGATCTCTATTATTTAAATCATAGTTTATATTGCAAATGGTTACACTATATTGTGTTATATGACTAGAGCTGAAGCTTGAAGGCAATATAAAAGGTACGTTTATGAATATTTAGTGCCAAACGCCCCTCTACAAACGTTGATTACATAGGTATTACACGTTACATTTATTCTCATATATCTATAGTCCACTCATTACACACAAACGCCCATGTCTTACGTACATTTAATAATTCCGCAATGGGATGGGTGTTAACTTGTGTATTCCTTAATCTTTACATGAAAATAGTGTTATGTAATGTAAAGGCTGTGATTTACTTTGTTTTTTAGGATCCAAGATCTATGTTTTGCTTTAGTTATATTATTAAAATATAACATTACCAACATTATTCTTTTTATAAGTGTTTTTTTGTTTAATATTGAAATATATTCGTGCCAAATCTGCTCAATTTTGATCCTCACGATGTTTTTAAAAGGTTTTCTTATATGTATGTTAGCCGCAAACAAGATTTTAGTGTTTTATAAAATTGATCATCGAATATCTAGAATGGAGTAAGCTTTAAAATCCATATCATTGTTTTGTTGATTTTTCATACTCTTACATAAAAATAAATATTAAATTACTCTTACTGTTATTTAGTATATCAATAAATTATCACTATTCAGCACATTTTAAGTGTGACACGAAATTGTTTTCCGCACATAAATGTAATGCCTGGCTTGTTAAATCGGTTTGAATTTTTTCAATTATTAATCACATAAAACATTGATTATCTAAGGTTTGTATTTTTTAAATGACTTATACACATTTCCCAGATGTTGCGTGTCTTGTGAAACAAACAGACATAGTTAGGTGCAATTTTTGTAGTTCCGTTTCACTCAAATTATACATGAAAGACTAGGACAGCATTCTACTAGATTATTTTATTTCTAAAGTTTTATCTTATAATGTTATAATGAGAGTTCTTCAACCGTTACTTCAATTTATTTTTATTTGTTTTTGCGTAGATAAATAAATATGTTGAGATTATACAATCCAATTTATTGTTATACGTGTCGAATATTGTAATAATTTAATAGCGTCAAGTGTTATAAGACTGCAAAGAATGTTATGTTCCCACTTTATTCCTTACAAAATATTATTATCTTTAAATTCATCTAGAGTAAATGTTACGTTGTTAATTGTTATAAATTTTATTAATATTTCTATAATGTTTATTTGGAAATAATCAATGATTACTATCCAAGTCAATTGAACACAAATATAAAACGTAAAATCCTTGCTCAATACATTATGTTAAGGTTTACATACGCACATTTTCTCGTGAATTTACTCCTTTGCCTGAGGATAATTTAAGTATGTAGCTGAAGGTACAAAATCTAAGCAACTAAACTATATCATGTGTACTTTGTGGCATTAGTTTTATGTGTTGTCGTTTAAAATTTAATTTTAAAGGTAAAATATATTTATGTATGATGATCCACTGTTGTGTCGAAAGGAACGTTTTCAAATATTCGAATGGTCGCGTTTATGCCCTTAGAAAGTCTGTAGCGAATGTTGTGCCCACTACAGACGTTCAATTTTAACTGAAACCTCGTATCAGTTAAAACAGTCAGTACTGAGAGTCTAAAGCTGGCCTTAGGCAGGTTAGATGTCACACTTGTTTCGGTATTTTTATTACTATTTATGTTGACCTGAAGCGGATAATAAAATTCGATCGAGGATAAATCAATTCACGTTTGTGGAATAGTGTTTTAACCCTATGTTATCGGTGAAGGTCGAGCGAGCAGTATGTACGGGAGAAACGTTCAGTTACATTCAGATAAGTATTATGAAGTCCTAGGCGTTTCCAAACAAGCTTTCATTCCCCCACTGGCCGCGGTGTTCAATTGAAACTGGAAGTAATAAGTACGGAGTCAGCGTGTGGAAGCAATTTTAGACTATTAGGTGTAAGAGGTTGGCTCCTCACTAGTTAGTGCAATAATCGTTTATAATATAATTATTATGTAATGAAATCCTTAGATTTTAAGTACTTTGACTTTTCGATTGAAATTGTACAACCCGAATAGACTGTAACGTCGTTATTGATTTACTTCGTCGCGTTTAAATATTGTTTCTCAAATGTTTCGAATGTTACTTCCTTATTGAATTTATATGTAAGTGTACGGTACTCATGCAATACACTACTCCTTTAATGCGGGGGCTAGTTACATCAATAAATAAATATAAATTATACTGTATTTTATTCGAATCGTTTTACCTATGGTTTATAAGCTGCCAGGAAGTAACATGTAAGTGTCAATTTAAATAAACGCCTTGTTAATTTTTAATTTATTTTTTTATTTAATTAATTTATGATTTCAGTTATGTTCTAGTTTACACATGCCTAGATACTACACATTTTTATGTCTTTACAAATTTACTTTCATTGTTTTTATTGTTATATTTTTGTACTGTTGCATGATGATTATGTTATATTGTTTTTTTTTTGTTTTCAGAATTTATAATTTTATAAATATCTAATGCCTTCGTCAATTTGAACATTATCAGAAAACATAATGATTTGGACTTCGATCAATCGATTGATTCGTCAAATTGACGTGGGCTGAAATGTTAATCAATATTTTGACATGTTTGTTGGTTTACAGAGGAGCTGTCGCCGGAGGATGATGAGCGCACGGTGTCGTCTGCGAGCCTGTGCATGTCGCCGGGGGCGGAGCCCGAGCGCGGGGCGGCGCCGCTCTGCTCCTCCACGCCCTTCGCCCCGCGACTCACGAACGGCTACGATGTCCTCGACAACCGCGACAGAAGGCACCTTGACAGCTGTGATACTATCAACGGAAATGTCAACGGTAAGTAAGAGCGGACTGTTTGATTGGATAAAGTTTCGAAATAAAACACCGTTTTTCATTTTTCAGTGCATATAGTATCAGAATCGACAAATAGCATGGATGTGCTAAGTGGAGGTGAGAGTGACGCCGGCGATACGCTCTCTAGGCGGAATAATAACAGGTAATCTTTATTTTTGACCGACTTCCCAAAAGAAGGTGGTACTCAATTCGTCTGTATGTTTTGTGTGTGTGTTACGGCATAACTCCGCCGCTAGTGGACCGATTTTGTTAATTCTTTTGTATCCGAAAGGTAGTGCTTGCAGGTGGGTCCCATTTTGTTTAATTTTTTGAGTCAAAGACTACGGCGTAATTAAATAGTTTATCTCAAAATCGCGTGACGAAAATTCTAGTCTATTTTTATTTCTTTGCTTACGTAGCCTAAACTATAAGACACACAAAAATGATATCTGGAAGAATTGTAGCCCTTTAAATTTGCTAAATTAAAGTCCGTGATAGCATATAGGTTGTCGCACAATAACTACTCTTCATTAAAATATCGATTGTTATCAATAAGAAAATTAAAGTTTTTTTTTAATAGTTCGCTTTATAAACTGAATGTGTATTATCTATGTATCTGGGCAGTATATCATCGCGCATCGCGTACTGCAGCGAGACGCAGCGGCGGCGCGGTGACGTCACCTACTTCGTGGCCAAGGAGCTGCTCATGACAGAGCGCACATACAAACGGGACCTAGAACTTGTCACAGTCGTAAGTTTGCAATATCTTACTAATAAATGCGAAAGTTTAGATGGATGTTTGTTAGTTTGTATCGTAAACGGCTTAACGGATCTCGATGAAATTTGGTATAAATGTAGTGGATTGTCTGGAACAACACATAAGCTACTTAATTTTTTTTTTAATTCAATGCGGAGGGAGTTGCGGAAGAAAGCTACTTTCTATATATTGTTCATACTGATAGCGTTGTTGTACAAATTTCAAAGATGTTTAAGGTGAATTCATATTTAATGAATGCGTAGCTTGTAACGTATAACAAGCGTAGAAAAATTCATGTGAAAAGGTTCAGCCACGCATGAGGAATAGTGTCAGTTTACTGTTGAATATTAGACCTTTCTTAAAGTTTGCAAATAAGACTTTCAGATATCCGTATACTTTAGTAGGCATTATTTGTGTGTATAGACGTGGTCCCGACACGTGGGCCGTGTGGCGAGCGCCGGCGCGGAGGGTGCGGAAGCGAGCGCGCTGGCCCGCGGCTGTCTGGCGCTGGAGCCGCTGGCATTGCCCGCTGGCGCGCTACTGGCACGACTCGACCGCGCACTCGCCACAGCACCGCACACTAGAAACGGTACGCAGTTACTCATTGTAGGTACAGTCGTGGAATGCCGCGGTGTTATATTTACAGAAATGTATTCAACGATGTTTTCACGCAATATTTGAATGTATTTAATTATGTTTCAAAGAGTTCCAAACAAGTTTCGAGTGCCTGCTGACCACCTTTATGCCGCCGTACTATGATGGTACCTTTTTACATCTTGTATTAGTGCTGTAGCTATTTTATGTAGATTAAGTAATTTTTGTTACATGACTACTTTTGTGTTGTAATACAGTTACTAGATTACTTTATAAAGTGTAATTTCCAGTATCGTAGTTTAAAATACAATCGATGTATCCAAAGTTTTATTGTATATTTTGTATCGAGTATGCTAGTCCAGTAACCTAGTAGATTTACATCTCGGTCGTAAACGTCGTTGGTAATTATTTTTTTTATGTATATTTTCGTATTTAACGTGTTTTTTTTTATAGTTTAAGCTAAAAATTCTCTGTACTTATTAGTTGTGTTAATATGCTCGTATGTTCACTTTTAGTCTTTTAGTGTGTTAATATTTTTGTTGTTCTTGTAGATAACGAGGAGCCGGAATATAAGAAGATAGCAGATATGCTACACGATTATCTGACGAACATATACGATGTAAGCAATTTTTTATTTTATGCCGCAGAAGTACAAGTGCACGTATACGCCCTGTACGAACACATACATGGGCGTATATCTCGCACACTATATACTTAATTGACCGATAATTTCAATATATACCTATATACTTATTTGACTGTAAATTGTCTGATAACAATCCGATGTGTAAAATTGATGGAAACATCGGATTTTGTTTCCTTATCTGACAGTGACGTCATGTTTAAGCTATCTGAATCTCTATCAGCCAATAGTGGGACAGGCTCTAAATGCTTGTGGTGACGTTATGTTTAAGCTATCTGAGTCCGTATCAACCAGTGGTGGGAGGCTCTGAATGCATGTGGTAACGTCATATTTGTGCTATCTGAGCCTCTATCAGCCAGTGTTGGGAGGATCTGACTGCGTGTGGTGACGTTATTTGAGCCTGTATCAGCCCGTGGTGGGCTGTGAATGCGTGCGGTGGCGTGATGTTTGTGCGTGTGAGGCAGGCGTACGAGCAGTACGCGCTGGGCGCGGGCGCGCTGGTGGCGCTGGCGGAGAGCGCGCGGCGGCGCGGCGGGGCGGGCGCGCGCGCGGCGGCGGAGTTCGACGCCAGCTCGCCGCTGCCGCTGGCCGCGCTGCTGCTGCGCCCGCTGCACCGCGCGCTGCATCTGCGCAGACTGGCGCACGGTACGCTTTACAGTAGCTGTACATTCGGCTGCAAATATTTATATTTTAACAAAAATCAGATACCTGTGTGTGCTTTTGGTTTCAAAAAACATTAATTATGCTGTTGAAACACTGCACTACTACATAAATCCACTAGCTTTCGCCCCGGCCTCGGTCCGCGTGGAATTTAAAAAAAAATACTGATTTGTTCAGCAATTTAGAATAAAAACATTAACATACATGCATCCATCCATCTTAACTTTCGATCCTATAATATTAGTAAGATTCTTGTTGGCGATGTAATTGCTATGCCTACTCGCTGTTACACGTGCCGCCCTTGAATGCACCTCGCGGCACGTGTAACCTCGGATGACCGCGGCCGCCCTGTCGTCGCGCGCCGCCGAAGTACATCCTTTGATGTTTCTTTGGCAGCGCGCGGCGAAGGACGGCGGTCTCTTTGATTTAACAACAACTAATAAAATCATGGCACGAGGCAGCAGTTATTGAGGTCGCGGCGAAATATAAATAGACAATATTTAACTTATTTGATGTCCAGTATTTTGAGAGCAATAAAGGCGTTTTTATTTTATCATACAGTCCACTATAATTCTCTTCGAAGTTAATCGGCTTTAGGTATCCTTTTTTTAAGTTTTTATTGTGTGCAGAGCTGTCTGTGGGCGGGTGCGGCGGGCGCGCGCGCGCGGCGCTGGAGGTGGCCACGCGCATGGCGGCGCTGGCGCTGCAGCAGCTGCCGCACGTCGAGAACCACAGCGCGCTCTGCCAGGTGCAGAGAGACATCACCGGTCAGTAAGACATGCGGCTTCATCCGCATGCAATTATAAAAAAAGTATTCTTATATTTGTCGAATTTTCAATTGAAAATGCCTAAATTCAAATGACAACGGTATTTGACATTAGATAACAATTACCGTTACCATAGCAACCTTGCTCCCTTAGAGTTGTCAGTTTGTTGTTTATGGTCCCTTTCCAACATGGATTTTTTTCCATCTAAGTATTCCCTAAGTTTAATAGCTTGAATATATGTAGCCTAAAGCGCGTAATCACTATAGGGCTTTTTAATAAAATAAGACGCATTCAAAAATATGCTGTGATTTCTGACATTTTACGTGAAGAAGTAGTCTGTGCACTTTTATTATATTAGGGTTTGAATTACGAGGTACAATTCATGTGTCTTATAGACTAGGAGTTAACTCAATTACATGCATTGTGTTAGGTTACGACAAGTTGCTGGTGGCGGAGCGCGAGTTCATCCGGCTGGGCTGTCTCTACAAACATTCCACTAAGGGTCTGCAGCAGAGGATGCTCTTTCTGGTACCATTATATTCCTAATGTCAATTAAATAAATATTTTCTTGTTGTATTGTATGAAATAAGATTATTTACTTTTGTTACAGTTTAGCGATTTGTTGCTGATAGCGTCCAAGTGTTCTGTGTCCCAGTTCCGCGCGCACCTCGCCCTGCCGCTGCACTCGCTGCAGCTGCTGCCCTCCGACTTACCCAACTCCTTTACTCTCTCAGGTATAGAGTAGTATACAAGGGCTGGCATAGCAGCAAATGCATACTACGTACAGTCGTGGAAATTCGCGGTGTACCACTTACAGAAATGTCTTGTTCTTTGCAAGCTTTGTCTATTCTTATAAATAACTGTTGCTCGCGACTTCATCCGCGTGAAATTAAAAAATATAACCTATGTTACCATCAGATAAATTACCTTTTTAACCGTGAAAGAATTTTTATAATTATCCTAGTAGTTTTTAAGTTATTTCTATACGTCCAAATATTTTTTTTTTTTTTGCGCAAATGTAGCCAACTGATCTTTTTTCATACATACTCGTTTAATAATTGAGTTGTTATGAATTTTTGTAAATGTATATATAATGTTTCTAAAATGTAACACCGCCAGATTCCCTGATTGTACGTCAGTTGGTCTCAATGCCTACAAAACGTTTCAACAAATATACAATAGAAACAGAACACCGCTAGGTTCCACGACTGTACGTCAGTTGCTACCTTTTTCCTATTAATGTGTATTTATTACTTATTTTAGTCCTTGGCTACTTAAAAACAGGAATCCTAGTTAAGTAGTCAAGGCAACTGATTTATGTAATTAACATTAGAGAGGAATAAAGATATTCTTATTCTTATTATTTTTGTACATGTTAAGGCGAGGACACGTGCGTGGTGCTGAGCGCGGGCGGCGCGGGCGGCGCGGCGGAGCGTGCGGGGTGGTGCGACGCGCTGGCGGCCGCCATCGAGCGCGCGCGCGAGCGCCCCACGCACGTCGACACGCAGCTCACAGCGCCACACACGGACGGTGCTACACATAGCTTACTAATTATTATAACGGGCCGAATTATTGATACTTATTAATATTAAAGTTACTGGAAACTAATAATTTTGGATACTTTGGATATATGTCAAGCGGCAATAATGACTAATGACAATTGTCATTGAATGATGTGCTTTTTTATTATAAAATCAATCGGTTAATCTCTGTTAATGATTGCAATTCGATTAGTATGTTGTGATATCAATTAAAATGGTGGTCAACTAAGGATAGTGTTTCTAATGTTACGCGATTGTTATTTCATTATCTCCGATATCCGCACGCCTACAATGGAAGATCGTTACCGTGTATTCGATTGTCATCGGAATTGAATTTTACAAACCGCTCGTCGATCCAACAAATGCGAAAGTTTAGATTGATGTTTGTTAGTTGGTAGCCTAAACGGCTGAACGGATCTCGATGAAATTCAGCATGGACGTAGAGGATAGTCTGGAAGAAAACATGGGCTACTTAGTTTTTTTTTAATTTTACGTTAGTATGTATTTAATTAATGTTTGGTATATTGTGCAGAGTGCAGCGGCGCGGGCGCGGGCGGAGCGCTGACGTTCGTGTGCTGGCACCGCGCCGCCTCGCTCACACGACAGCATCTCAACCTCGCCATCAGAGTACGTACATACATGTAATATATCATATCTTGATTCTGAAGTTTCCGCTAAGTATTCTGAGTTTTCCTATAAGTTAAAGAAGTAAATTTAAGAAGTAATTTAAAAAAAATTATTTTGCCTACAATTTTCTTATTTTCTAAACAAACATACAATACGTACATAAAAGTGTATTTTACTATATTGTTATGGTATTTGTGGTTTTAGACTCAGTTATCTGGCTACCTGCTCCGCAAGTTCAAGAACTCTCACGGCTGGCAGAAGTTATGGGTGGTGTTCGCAGCCTTCACGCTCTTCTTCTACAAGAGCTGGCAGGATGAGACACCACTCGCCTCATTGCCACTGCTGGGGTAAGCTATTATAAATTTTGAATATATTAAAAGCAGCTTTAAAAATTGAACTATATCATCATATTATAAAGAAAATATTTTTATATGTATTGAAATAACTCAAAAATGTAAATAATTCTTTCACTATAAAAAAGCTTCGTTATCAGGGATTACTCAAAGGCTATCTTTTTTTTTATTTTTTATTTCCGTACGGAGGAAGTCGCTAGCAACAGCTTGTTTGATCTAGTTATTGAAATGTTTAAAATGTGGGAAACAGTTAATTAACAATTATTTATTACTAGATACACTGTGTGTGCGCCCGCGCCGGAGGACGGCATCGAC